TTGTCCAGGATGACCTGAGACACAGAGAGGATGATGAAGATGAGCTCACAGCTGCCTCCTCATCATCACTGAATTCCCAGCAGACCCAGAGGATTCTGCAGCGAGCGGACAAACATGAGTTCACACTGCAGATCAGAGTCTGTTCCTGTAGCGCCCCCATCAGGTCACACTGCTACTACAGCCTCAGAGCTACGGAGGACCAACTCTGACATAATTAAACAAATACAGAAATACAAATAATGATTAAAGCAATAAAATACATCAGATAATTAGATGCCAGCAGAAAGGAAATCAAGTTGCATTTATTTATTTACTTCTTTCTTTATTCACCTTTATAATAATGACATTATTTTTTCAGCTTTATTATGTAATCACCTTTTTATATGACAGACCGGTGCAGCGTCCGCATTGTTGCAGCAGCCGCACCGATCCGTCTATCGATCTCCCGCTCCATTCTTCCCTCACTCGTCAACAGGACCCCAAGAACTCCTCCACTTGAGGCAGGGACTCTCCTCCAACCTGAAGGGGACAAGCCACCTTTATCCTGTGGAGAACCATGGCCTCGGACTTGGAGGAGCTGATTCTCATCCCGGCCGCTTCACACTCGGCTGCAAACCGCCCCAGCGCACGATGTAGGTCTTGGCAGGAGGGAGCCAGCAGAACTACGTCATCCACATAAAGCAGGGACGAGATCCGCTGGTCCCCGAACCAGACCCCCTCTGGTCCTTGGCTGCGCCTAGAAATCCTGTCCATAAAAGTTATGAACAGGACGGGTGACAGAGGGCAGCCCTGTCGGAGTCCAACATGCACCGGGAACAGGTCGACTTAATGCCGGCAATGCGAACCAGACTCCTGCTCCGCTTGTACAGAGAACGGATGGCCCCTAATAAAGGGCCCCCGACTCCATACTCCTGGAGCACCCCCCACAGGGCAGCACGAGGGACACGGTCGAATGCCTTCTCCAAGTCCACAAAACACATGTGGACTGGTTGGGCAAACTCCCATGAACCCTCAAGCATCCTGCAGAGGGTGTAGAGCTAGTCCACTGTTCCACGGCCAGGACGAAAACCACACTGCTCCTCCTGCAGCCGAGGTTCCACAATCAGCCGGACTCTCCTCTCCAGCACCCTGGCATAGGCGTTTCCGGGGAGGCTGAGAACTGTGATTCCCCGATAGTTGGAGCACTCCCTCCGGTCCCCCTTCTTGTGGAGGGGAACCACCACCCCAGTCTGCCAATCCAGGGGGACTGTCCCTGACCTCCATGCGATGCTGAAGAGACATGTCAACCATGACAGCCCGACAACATCCAGAGCTCTAAGATACTCAGGACGGATCTCGTCCACCCCACCGAAGCCTTGCCACCGTGGAGTTTTATGACCACCTCGGTGACTTCGGCCTGGGTGATGAACGAATCCAGCCCCAAGCACCCTGTCTCTTCTTCCTCCACGGAAGGTGGGGGAAGAAGAGACGAGGTCATTGCCTTCAGATAAAGAACTTTCTCTCTTTATATTTTCTTATTAACCAAACTATTTCGGAAAGTTTTTGTCAAAAAGTGGAGGTATCCTACACCCTATCCTCCACCCTATCCTCCACCCTATCCTCCACCCTATCCTCCACCCTATCCTCCACCATATCCTCCACCCTATCCTCCACCGTATCCTCCACCCTATCCTCCACCATATCCTCCACCGTATCCTCCACCGTACCCTCCCTCCTATCCCCCACCATATCCTCCACCCTATCCTCCACCGTATCCTCCACCCTATCCTCCACCGTATCCTCCACCGTATCCTCCACCCTATCCTCCACCATATCCTCCACCGTATCCTCCACCGTATCCTCCACCCTATCCTCCACCCTATCCTCCACCATATCCTCCACCCTATCCTCCACCGTATCCTCCACCCTATCCTCCACCATATCCCCCACCCTATCCTCCACCGTATCCTCCAATCTATCCTCCACCCTATTCTCCACCGTATCCTCCACCCTATCCTCCACCGTATCCTCCACCGTATCCTCCACTGTACCCTCCCCCCATCCCCCACCCTATCCTCCACCCTATCCTCTACCCTATCCTCCACCATATCCTCCACCCTATCCTCCACCGTACCCTCCCCCCTATCCCCCACCATATCCTCCACCGTATCCTCCACCCTATCCCCCACCATATCCTCCACCGTATCCTCCACCCTATCCTCCACCCTATCCTCCACCCTATCCTCCACCATATCCTCCACCCTATCCTCCACCCTATCCTCCACCGTATCCTCCACCCTATCCTCCACCATATCCTCCACCGTATCCTCCACCGTACCCTCCCTCCTATCCCCCACCATATCCTCCACCCTATCCTCCACCGTATCCTCCACCCTATCCTCCACCGTATCCTCCACCGTATCCTCCACCCTATCCTCCACCGTATCCTCCACCGTATCCTCCACCCTATCCTCCACCCTATCCTCCACCGTATCCTCCACCCTATCCTCCACCCTATCCCCCACCGTATCCTCCACCGTACCCTCCCTCCTATCCCCCACCATATCCTCCACCCTATCCTCCACCGTATCCTCCACCCTATCCTCCACCGTATCCTCCACCCTATCCTCCACCATATCCTCCACCGTATCCTCCACCCTATCCTCCACCCTATCCTCCACCATATCCTCCACCCTATCCTCCACCGTATCCTCCACCCTATCCTCCACCATATCCTCCACCGTATCCTCCACCCTATCCTCCACCCTATCCTCCACCGTATCCTCGAACGTATCCTCCACCGTATCCTCCACCCTATCCTCCACCCTATCCTCCACCATATCCTCCACCCTATCCTCCACCGTATCCTCCACCCTATCCTCCACCCTATCCTCCACCATATCCTCCACCCTATCCTCCACCGTATCCTCCACCCTATCCTCCACCATATCCTCCACCGTATCCTCCACCCTATCCTCCACCCTATCCTCCACCGTATCCTCCACCCTATCCTCCACCGTATCCTCCACCGTATCCTCCACCGTACCCTCCCTCCTATCCCCCACCATATCCTCCACCCTATCCTCCACCGTATCCTCCACCCTATCCTCCACCGTATCCTCCACCGTATCCTCCACCCTATCCTCCACCATATCCTCCACCGTATCCTCCACCCTATCCTCCACCCTATCCTCCACCCTATCCTCCACCCTATCCTCCACCATATCCTCCACCCTATCCTCCACCGTATCCTCCACCCTATCCTCCACCGTATCCTCGACCGTATCCTCCACCGTACCCTCCCTCCTATCCCCCACCATATCCTCCACCCTATCCTCCACCGTATCCTCCACCCTATCCTCCACCGTATCCTCCACCGTATCCTCCACCCTATCCTCCACCCTATCCTCCACCATATCCTCCACCGTATCCTCCACCCTATCCTCCACCATATCCTCCACCATATCCTCCACCGTATCCTCCACCCTATCCTCCACCCTATCCTCCACCCTATCCTCCACCCTATCCTCGAACGTATCCTCCACCGTACCCTCCCTCCTATCCCCCACCATATCCTCCACCCTATCCTCCACCGTATCCTCCACCCTATCCTCCACCGTATCCTCCACCGTATCCTCCACCCTATCCTCCACCCTATCCTCCACCGTATCCTCCACCCTATCCTCCACCATATCCTCCACCGTATCCTCCACCATATCCTCCACCGTACCCTCCACCCTATCCCCCACCGTATCCTCCACCATATCCTCCACCCTATCCTCCACCGTATCCTCCACCATATCCTCCACCCTATCCTCCACCGTACCCTCCACCCTATCCTCCACCCTATCCTCCACCGTACCCTCCACCCTATCCTCCACTCTACCCTCCACCCTATCCTCCACCGTACCCTCCACCTTACCCTCCACCGTACCCTCCACCCTATCCTCCACCGTACCCTCCACCCTATCCTCCACTGTACCCTCCACCCTAGCCTCCACCCTATCCTCCACCCTACCCTTCACCGTACCCTCCACCCTATCCTCCACCGTACCCTCCACCCTATCCTCCACCCTATCCTCCACCGTACCCTCCACCCTATCCTCAACCGTACCCTCCACCCTATCCTCCACCTTACCCTCCACCGTACCCTCCACCCTATCCTCCACCCTACCCTCCACCCTATCCTCCACCGTACCCTCCCCCCTATCCCCCACCGTATCCTCCACCATATCCTCCACCCTATCCTCCACCGTATCCTCCACCGTATCCTCCACCCTATCCTCCACCGTACCCTCCACCCTATCCTCCACCCTAGCCTCCACCCTATCCTCCACCCTACCCTTCACCGTACCCTCCACCGTACCCTCCACCGTACCCTCCACCCTATCCTCCACCGTACCCTCCACCCTATCCTCCACCGTACCCTCCACCCTATCCTCCACTGTACCCTCCACCCTATCCTCCACCCTAGCCTCCACCCTATCCTCCACCCTACCCTTCACCGTACCCTCCACCGTACCCTCCACCCTATCCTCCACCGTACCCTCCACCCTATCCTCCACCCTATCCTCCACCTTACCCTCCACCCTATCCTCCAACGTACCCTCCACCCTATCCTCCACCGTACCCTCCACCCTATCCTCCACCCTAGCCTCCACCCTATCCTCCACCCTACCCTTCACCGTACCCTCCACCGTACCCTCCACCCTATCCTCCACCCTACCCTCCACCGTACCCTCCACCCTATCCTCCACCCTACCCTCCACCGTACCCTCCACCCTATCCTCCACCGTACCCTCCACCCTATCCTCCACCGTACCCTCCACCCTATCCTCCACTCTACCCTCCACCCTATCCTCCACCGTACCCTCCACCTTACCCTCCACCTTACCCTCCACCGTACCCTCCACCCTATCCTCCACCCTACCCTCCACCCTATCCTCCACCGTACCCTCCACCGTACCCTCCACCCTATCCTCCACCGTACCCTCCACCCTATCCTGCACCGTACCCTCCACCCTATCCTCCACCCTAGCCTCCACCCTATCCTCCACCCTACCCTTCACCGTACCCTCCACCGTACCCTCCACCCTATCCTCCACCGTACCCTCCACCCTATCCTCCACCCTATCCTCCACCGTACCCTCCACCCTATCCTCCACCTTACCCTCCACCCTATCCTCCACCGTACCCTCCACCCTATCCTCCACCGTACCCTCCACCCTATCCTCCACCCTAGCCTCCACCCTATCCTCCACCCTACCCTACACCGTACCCTCCACCGTACCCTCCACCGTACCCTCCACCCTATCCTCCACCGTACCCTCCACCCTATCCTCCACCGTACCCTCCACCCTATCCTCCACTTTACCCTCCACCCTATCCTCCACCCTAGCCTCCACCCTATCCTCCACCCTACCCTTCACCGTACCCTCCACCCTATCCTCCACCGTACCCTCCACCCTATCCTGCACCGTACCCTCCACCCTATCCTCCACCCTAGCCTCCACCCTATCCTCCACCCTACCCTTCACCGTACCCTCCACCGTACCCTCCACCCTATCCTCCACCGTACCCTCCACCCTATCCTCCACCGTACCCTCCACCCTATCCTCCACCTTACCCTCCACCCTATCCTCCACCGTACCCTCCACCCTATCCTCCACCGTACCCTCCACCCTATCCTCCACCCTAGCCTCCACCCTATCCTCCACCCTACCCTTCACCGTACCCTCCACCGTACCCTCCACCCTATCCTCCACCCTATCCTCCACCCTACCCTCCACCCTATCCTCCACCCTATCCTCCACCCTATCCTCCACCCTATCCTCCACCCTACCCTCCACCCTATCCTCCACCCTACCCTCCACCCTATCCTCCACCCTACCCTCCACCCTCCACCCTATCCTCCACCCTACCCTCCACCGTATCCTCCACCCTATCCTCCACCCTATCCTGCACCGTACCCTCCACCCTATCCTCCACCGTACCCTCCACCGTACCCTCCACCCTATCCTCCACCCTACCCTCCACCCTACCCTCCACCCTATCCTCCACCCTATCCTGCACCGTACCCTCCACCCTATCCTCCACCCTACCCTCCACCCTATCCTCCACCCTACCCTTCACCGTACCCTCCACCATACCCTACACCCTATCCTCCACCCTAGCCTCCACCCTATCCTCCACCCTACCCTTCACCGTACCCTCCACCCTATCCTCCACCCTACCCTCCACCCTATCCTCCACCCTATCCTCCACCCTATCCTCCACCCTATCCTCCACCCTAGCCTCCACCGTACCCTCCACCCTACCCTCCACCCTATCCTCCACCCTATCCTCCACCCTAGCCTCCACCCTACCCTCCACCCTAACCTTCACCGTACCCTCCACCCTATCCTCCACCCTACCCTCCACCCTATCCTCCACCCTAGCCTCCACCGTACCCTCCACCCTACCCTCCACCCTACCCTCCACCCTATCCTCCACCCTATCCTCCACCCTATCCTCCACCCTACCCTCCACCCTAACCTCCACCCTATCCTCCACCCTACCCTCCACCCTATCCTCCACCCTACCCTTCACCGTACCCTCCACCGTACCCTACACCCTACCCTCCACCCTACCCTCCACCCTACCCTTCACCGTACCCTCCACCGTACCCTCCACCCTACCCTCCACCCTACCCTCCACCCTACCCTCCACCCTATCCTCCACCCTAGCCTCCACCCTATCCTCCACCCTACCCTTCACCGTACCCTCCACCGTACCCTCCACCCTACCCTCCACCCTACCCTCCACCCTATCCTCCACCCTATCCTCCACCCTACCCTCCACCCTATCCTCCACCCTACCCTCCACCCTATCCTCCACCCTATCCTCCACCCTACCCTCCACCCTATCCTCCACCCTATCCTCCACCGTACCCTCCACCTTACCCTCCACTGTACCCTCCACCCTAGCCTCCACCCTACCCTCCACCCTATCCTCCACCCTATCCTCCACCCTATCCTCCACCGTACCCTCCACCTTACCCTCCACCGTACCCTCCACTGTACCCTCCACCCTAGCCTCCACCCTATCCTCCACCCTATCCTCCACCTTACCCTCCACCGTACCCTCCACTGTACCCTCCGCCCTAGCCTCCACCCTACCCTCCACCCTATCACCTCAGGTTAAAAGCTGAACGTGTCTAACTGAGCTGCAGTGTGAACGTCTCCTGTGGGAGTGGACAGTGACCTCTTCACGGCTCCACGGACGGCGTTGTAAAGAAGTTGGTTCTGGCTCATTCATATTTGCATCCAGGTCCAAGATGGCAGCAGAGCCTGGAGGAACCTTCTGGTAGTTTAAGCTGGCCTCAGGAATACGATGGACCAGCTGGAAAGAGAGTAGATCTAAATGATCTAGATGGTCTGGATGTTGATGAAAAACCAGCAAGCAGCTGCTGAAGGTACCACCAGCTGGTCTTCAACACATGCACCAAGTCAACATGCAGCTGCAACGGTGGAGAGTGAGTTTCTGCTGGGACACAGCGCCGTGTTAGAGTAGGAAACCCCCGCCACAGCTCCATGAACCAGTGAAACCAGTTCATTACCAGCACAGCATGATTCATCAACAAAACAGATTAAAGTTCTGGTCTCACAGTCTAAGCTTGGCTAAAAATCTAATTAAAGGTTCCTTTTTAATAATAAAAAATGGAAGATGTTAATTATTACTTATTCTCACACTGATGCTAATTAACTGATTATTTATTCTGTTCATGATTTATTATATAATAGTTTTGGTGTTTTATCAAAATGTTCCATCAATCATGATTTTAGTGGATTGTGGTGGTTCCTTCTGACCCAAAAATGACACAATTATCTCATAATTAGCATTGACATTATATAAAGTCACGTAACTCTGATATATTTTAGTTATTTCCTGAATTCCTAGTCAAGCTTTCCTCTAATTAACTTAACTCAGAACTCTGGAATCGTTAATTATTGAAATTATTTAAATCAGCTTTTCCAACAATCACTCAGGAATGAGGACTTTCCGCTCCATCTTTAATCATTAACTTCATAGAACGATTTCTGGAGATCAGCGGCTCTCCATCAGCCGAGCTGTTTCCTGCTCTGGCTTCACTTTTCCTGAAGCGTCTTTAAACTGCGACGGAATGCAGGTTCTTCTCCGGTTCTCAGTTTATTCCTCGCCTTGGGTCAGTATAAATCTTTTTCTGCTGATTACTCACAGATTTAGGTTATAGGGGACCGTGGTCGGTTGGGAATGTGAGGCCAGCGATAGGAATGTTAGTTTAGGTGAGGTCAGTGACAGATCAAAGCTGGAATCAGCTTGGATGGAGAAAATAAGGGTTTGGATGGACCAGCTTCAGCCGGATGTGTTTACTGTAGATTAGATCTAGTTAAACAGGACTTCCATCCTGTAGACTGACTCCAGCTTGGACCCTTGGTAGCATCTCAGTGTTTCTGTTGCTAATGAGCTGACAGACAGTCAAAGAGGAAAACGTTCAGAGGTGCAGAACAAGCCAACACTGTGAGGGGGGGGGGGTGCTGGGACTGGTGGCGGGGAGGGAAAGATGGCGGATGAGTAGAGTTGGACACCTGAGACTTTCGAACCCCATGGAGGTATGGAACTGATGGAAAGTTGAAAGATTTTGAAGCAGAATGAAGCTCCTGCAGCTCAACCTGCAAACAAACAACAAAGCTTCTGCAGCTTCCGGACGAGCAGAGAGGAAGAGATGCAACAGAAGGACCTGGTAACACACTTAAACTGGGAACACTGGGAACACTGGGATGATAGAATGTAGCTCAACTGGCTGATGAATGCAGACGCTTTCAGTGTCTCAGAGGGGATGGACGGCTCACATGGAGTAGACAGACAATCAGACTGCCCCCTGCTGGTCACGGACAGATGCATGTGTGTGTTCCCAGTGATGAAGCCATGAGAGTGCAGTGATGGTGCTGATGCGGGGACTGGTGGAGTCCTACCTCCTCCCGGGCAGAGATGTTGGAGGCAGGTGTGTTGGGGAGCGAGCTGGGTGAGGTGGTGGTGCCCATTCCAGAGCTGGGAGAATCCCCGTCTCCTGCGACATCGTGGATCTCTTTGGCCAAGATGGCCAGATCTTTGGCCAGGTCTTGACTGAGCCTGCAGTGGAAACACAAACAGCAGGAACACATTGATACCTGAGTAGCCTAGAAGAGCAGCCAATGGCAGCAGAATTCATACTTTGCTATCTCTGCGCTGTGGGTTGACCAGTTCTGGTATGGGTCGACATCGTTCTGGTCCTCGTCCTCCTCGGTCTCCAGGGAGACAGACTTACTTCTACTGGCAGCAGTTCTCTGGCTACGAACTGTTTGGCCAGCACTGCTTGGGTGAGGAGATCGTCTGGCTTTGGTGGAGCCAGTGTTTGCCTCGTATTCTTCCTCAGAGGAAGATGAGAAGTCTGGGCCCCTCTGTTTATGCCGTGTACCTGAAACCAGAACAGCCGAACCACAGACCCACACAAAGACATAATCGGGTCCGTTAAATGGTCACAGTGCAAACGACCTTACTGCTAGTCAGCCTGCGCTGCGAAGTTCAGAGAACCAAACAGATGAACTCACCACTGCTAGGGTACTTATTCCCACTGGATCGGACACGAGTCAGTGTTTGCTTGACTGGAGCTCCGCCCCCTCTACTGGCTGCTTGGTGAGCGTCCCCAACAGATGTCTTCCTGGCCATGGCGGCAGGCTCATTGTTGCGACTTGAGAAACCAGAACGACTTGCGGAGGACTCATTGTCACTGGGAGTTGTAAATGAACCGGTCCTCTTCCTAGGCATTGCCAAAATGTCCAGTCTGGACAGCTTCTTCCCTTCAGCGGAGACTTTGGGAGGTGCCGAGATGTGGTCAGAGTTCTGGGAGGCCCGATCCGTCTCTGTACCTTCATTGTCTGAAGCGTCCCCGAGGCGGGCACGTCGTAGCATTGATGCTCGGGTTGGCCTTGGTGCTGACAGGCTGTTAGAACGAGTTAAAACCTGTTGAGTGGCTGACTTAGGTGTCTTTCCGTTGTCCTCTTTCTGTAGAGGGGCAATGGTTTTCTTTGTGCGACTGGATGGACGAGAGATTTCATGATCAGATGAAGTAGATTCAGTCCAGACAGGCGCAGTACCTTGTTGACCTTCAGTCAAATCTAGAGAACCGCGGTTTCCTGTGCTGCGGCGCATCTGTAGGCGCTTCGTTGCCTCTGCTTTGCTTGGTGTGTCAGCTGAGGTCTGCGTGCGCCTTTTCTCCGAGAGACGCTCACGAGCACTTAGCTGCCGTCCCTTTTCCTGGATAGACGGGCTAGAGGAGGACTTCTCTTTCTGAAGGCTGCTTATTGCGGGTCGTTTTTTAGAGGTGGAGCCAACAGGTGCGTTTTTACTGCTGACCTGACTGACGGTGCTTGCTGTATCTACATCTGACTCTCCAGTGAGAGAGTCATCCATGTGGGTAGAGGATCCCCCCTTCTTAGAGCTACGACCAGAACCAGAGGAGGGAAGCTTGTTGTCCAGGGGAGACTCCTGAAGGAAGGGCTCCGGTTCCTGGATCCCCTCCTGCCTCTGCTCCATGTCTATGATGGAAGGCTGGCTGGAGATGTGGGGAAGCTTCTTCATCGGGATAGTGTCACTGGGCCGGTCTTTGGTAAAACTTTCCTGACGAAAAATATCTTTTGTAGGAACCGAATCTTTGTCTTGTATTATGAGGTTTGGAGCAGAGTTGTTTGGCTTGACTCCTGTTCTTCTGGGTTCATGTCCACTCAAGTGTCGGATCAATACTGTTGTAGGAGGTGTTTTAGTTTCAGGGTCTCGAACCCTGTCAGCCGGTATCGGGCTCCGAGCCGACTCAGCCTTACCTAGCTGGTCCTCAGCGCCGATATAAAAGAAGGTGGATTTGTTGACAGGAGAAGATTTGTCCTGAACTCTGACGTGATAACCAGGGGACGTGTTTCCGGCTCTGACTTCTATTTTCTTTGCATGAAGCATAGCGGGTCCGTCTTCAGAACGGCTGGCATCGCTCAGGCTGTCTGGGTCCACGTCGTCCTGAACAGCTAAGCGCTGGGTGGAGTCTAGTGAGCAGGGCGGACCATGAACCCTTTCCTGGGATCTCTGGCCTTGGTGGGATTCGTGCCGAATCAGGATGCTTGGAGGGACACTTTCTGCCTTGTCTTGGGGAACCTGAGGCAGCAGCCTCCGGGTCCGAGAGCTGTGGCTCGTCTCTGACTCAGACGTATCGTAGCTGTAGCTTCCCACTGAATGACTCATGTACCGCAGATCTATAAACACAACTTTCTGTTAGTGTGGCTCCTGTAATCAAAGAAAGTATGAACAGTATTAATAGATCTGTGTACTTTTGTCTAGGACCTTGTAACGATAAGGCAAGTACAGGAGCGTTCGCTTTTTAAAACAGCCAAAAGCAGGTAGGGTTCCCTAACCCTACGGCTCACACAGATTCAGGCCTAAGCTCAGAGACGTTCCTCCAGGTTCCTGAAGCTGCTCCTTTGTTCTCCTGGCTCCACAGTACCCTAGATCAAACTCCCCGTGTTTGGAAAACATCCCCACACCATGATTCTGACAGCACCATGCTTCACCATAGGAATACTGTTAGCATAACTGTTGTTATGTAACAAACAGCCTCCGGTTTCACCACTCGTTATCCTTGGACTTTGAACCTAAATGTTCATTTTGGTTCCCAGACTGAAGAATTCGCTTTCTGCTCGTTTCCATCTGCTAGTTTGGCCACTTTGGCCACATTCTATTCTATTCTATTCTATTCTATTCTATTCTATTCTATTCTATTCTATTCTATTCTATTCTATTCTATCTAGCCAGACTGATTGGTGGAGCTCTCCCTACAGACCAAGAACTTCCTTCCTTCAGTGTTTTGGTGGGGGTGGGTGGTGGGGTGGGTATGTGAGTGTGTGTGTGTGTGTGTGTGTGTGGGGGGTCCTTTCTTTTCCTCTCAGTCCCAGATGTCTTCCCTCCCCCCAGAGTGAACCCTGTGAATCTACGTTTCAGATTAAAATCTGTTATTAAGTCATTATTTGCTGTTTTAAGATCTAAATGAAGGTCTGAGCGTTTCTATAGATCAGTTTCATCTATAAGCAGCTACCATGATTTCCTTTCTAATAACTAATAAACAGTTTTCAGTCAGCAGACTGATATGATAACTCTTTTTGTGAACCACATCGGACGCTGAGTACCTTCCAGACATTCCCCCTGTGGAGGAGTAGAGCCAGGCTCGGCATAGCTGTCCGCCAGGCTGGCCCACCGAGAAACCCATTTAGGTCCTTCAAGGTCAGCCGTTCGACCTTGAACCTAAAACACAGATAGTTATGAGGAACATGAGCATATCTGGATAACAGCTAACAGCCGAGACTAGACAGAGAGGAAAAGGCAACCCAGGGAACAGAGGCTGAACACCAGAGGACATGCACATGGAGAGCATCATGCATCTCAGGGTCTGCTGGGCCTGTGTTACCTGCATGGGACCTGTAGGGGGAGCACTGACTGCTGCTGGGATAAAGCCATGCAATAGGTCCACGCTGCTACCATCAGCAGGCAGGTTGAGGGACTCCTCTGTGCCTTGGTGTATGACCGGTCTATACCCTCCTGTGGTGGGCCCACTGTACTCTGGAGAGTCAAGGACACCAAACACCTGTTTGACAACAGGGCATGCATGAGAGGCTGGACTGACCACAGAGGGAGAAGAGACAAGGATAAGACGTCTCATGCTCCTTTAGAATAAACTTTATATATTCTAAACTGGTGGATTTAATCTGCTGAGATGCTTCCACAACATGCTGAGGGTCATGGTGACGTCACCTGATCAATCATGCTGCGGGCCTCCTCCACCTCTTTGTCTTGGGACTCTGTCTCAATGGTGTATGTTCCAGCATCACTCAGGCTGTCGTCTTCCTCATTCCTCACCATCCTCTGGGAAACCTTGGTGTCTCCCCCACAGACTCCCAGGGACGACATGGGGGACACATGGGATCCGGGCGGATGGACCGTTTGGGTCGAGCCGCTGGGCACTTTGAAGGACTTGGAGGCCGTTGGGGTTTGTGAAGGGAATGAGGGATACAAACCAGGAGGATGTGCTGGAGGTTCCTGTGGGGATGGGCTCTGGGGATGGGGGGGCGAAACCATCACAGGCGGCGCAGACATGGGAGGAGGCGAGTCTTTGTCTCTGGTGGGGGAGGAGTCCTTCAGGAACTCTGCAGCAAACTCTTGTGCGAGCTTTGACTTCTTGCCAACGCTGCCAAACGGTCTGATAATGACGCCTGAGGAGGAGCTTGATGAAATGGCCTCCCCTTCAGTCTTTTCTCGTTTAAGAGAGCTTGACCTCTGAGGGCCTAGAGGACCCTGACCCTTTAAGGGGACCGTCACCTGTTGGGTGGGAGGAATGTGTCCATGCATGGAGGCTGGCCTCTCGCCTCCTTTCCGTCGCTCCATCTTGGCCTTTAGGGTGCAGTAGGAGTCCCCCTGGGCAGGGTTGTGGGTGAAGGACTGGGAGCGCTTCTTACGTGGGTTGTCATCAAAGAACTCAATAATGAAGGCCTGCTGGGTGAGGTGCTCAGAAGGTCCCTGTTTGGACATTTCAGTTGGAGACGGTGGCTGGGGAGGGCTGTGGGACAGGCTCCGCTCGGGGGCCACCACTGGGGCGGGGGCCTGTCTGGGGGGAGAGAACTGCAGCACATGGTGGAGTTTCTGTGCTTGAACAGGCTGCGGACCTGACTGGACCGTTTCAGGCTGCTCTGATTGGACAGAGTTCTGGGACGGACTTCGGGCTTTAGGAACCAGGTCTTCAGAATCACTCTGGGTTCCATCCTCATGATGGTGATCTGGTAGAAGATAACGCAATTAGTAAGTTTAAAGGGAAGGTCAAACATAACACTGTGTGTCTCTCTTACTGGAAACGTTTCTCATGACCTTCTGCTCTAAGACATCAGATGTTGGTAGAAACCAGTGATCTTCATGACGGTAAATGTCCTGTACTGGTATAGCACTTTTTCAAGTCAGAGGACCTGACCAAAGCCCTGTACACCACATTCCCTCACACTGATGGTGGTGAGCTGCCAGGCTGCAGTACGCTGGCGCCACCATCAGGAGACAATGCAGGTAAAGTGTCTTGCCCAAGGACACAACCACACCAAAAGCCAGAACCAAGGCTTGAACTGACAACCATCCTTTAGCTGGTCCTTCATCCGACGCCACTGGCACCCTGATCATCTAAAACATTTAGAACACCTACAATGTTCACCTGAGTACTTTCACACACAGTGAAGAAGAGGAGAACCTGGACCTCATTCAATCTGGACCTCTTTAACCTGGACCTCGTTTAACCTGGACTTCCTACAATCAGAACCTCCTTTAACCTGGACCTCCTACAACCAGAACCTCCTTTAACCTGGACCTCCTACAACCAGAACCTCCTTCAACCTGGACCTCCTTTAACCTGGACTTCCCTCAACCTGGACCTCCTTTAACCTGGACTTCCTTCAACCTGAACCTCCTTCAACCTGAACCTCCTACAACCAGAACCTCCTTCAACCTGGACCTCATTCAATCTGGACCACCTTTAACCTGGACCTCCTACAACCAGAACCTCCTTCCACATGGACCCCTTCAACCTGGACCTCCTTTAACCTGGACTTCCTTCAACCTGGACTTCCTTCAACCTGAACCTCCTTCAACCTGGACCTCATTCAATCTGGATCTCCTACAACCAGAACCTCCTTCAACCTGGACCTCTTCACCCTGGACCTCCTTTAACCTGGACCTCCTACAACCAGAACCTCCTTCAACCTGGACCTCCTTCAACCTGGACCTCCTTCAACCTGGACCTCATTCAATCTGGACCTCTTTAACCTGGACCTCGTTTAACCTGGACCTCCTACAACCAGAACCTCCTTTAACCTGGACCTCCTACAACCAGAACCTCCTTTAACCTGGACCTCCTACAACCAGAACCTCCTTCAACCTGGACCTCATTTAACCTGGACTTCCCTCAACCTGGACCTCCTTTAACCTGGACTTCCTTCAACCTGAACCTCCTTCAACCTGAACCTCCTACAACCAGAACCTCCTTCAACCTGGACCTCATTCAATCTGGACCTCATTCAATCTGTATCTCCTACAACCAGAACCTCCTTCAACCTGGACCTCTTCACCCTGGACCTCCTTTAACCTGGACCTCCTACAACCAGAACCTCCTTCAACCTGGACCCCTTCAACCTGGACCTCCTTTAACCTGGACTTCCTTGAACCTGGACTTCCTTCAACCTGAACCTCCTTCAACCTGGACCTCATTCAATCTGCATCTCCTACAACCAGAACCTCCTTCAACCTGGACCTCTTCACCCTGGACCTCCTTTAACCTGGACCTCCTACAACCAGAACCTCCTTCAACCTGGACCCCTTCAACCTGGACCTCCTTTAACCTGGACTTCCTTGAACCTGGACTTCCTTCAACCTGAACCTCCTTCAACCTGGACCTCATTCAATCTGTATCTCCTACAACCAGAACCTCCTTCAACCTGGACCTCTTCACCCTGGACCTCCTTTAACCTGGACCTCCTACAACCAGAACCTCCTTCAACCTGGACCTCCTTCAACCTGGACCTCATTCAATCTGGACCTTCTTCAAGTCAGCTGATTCCTGCTGGTTTCTAAGAACATCTGGTGTGAAGTTCCCACCATTAGTGGCATTAACACTTTCTAGAAGAGTTGTGGGGCACTCCTACCTCCGAGGAGGCATTCCTCACCTTTAAGGGTCTTGATGTTGATGGCAAGGTCACTCTTGGTGCTGTAGACATCCTCGCATGGCGGATGCCTCCTCATCATGCTGACATCACTGTGGACCAGCCAATCGGCCACTTTGCTCTGCGCTGACACCATCTCTGCAGGCGCGGCAGTCTTGGCTATGTAGGCCTGGCCTTTCCTCTGGTGGGTGGAGAACTTGGTGACGTGGTCTTTGATCTTGATCTTGCCGGGCATGCAGTCATCAAACTCGATGGTGAAGGAGGCGTGGCTCTGGACAACGGGCGGGGTTGGGGTAGGAGGCAAAGGTAGGGCAGGGGGGTTGTCAGTGTCCTTGGTGGGGATCTCATGGAGCTCTTCCTCGGTTGTTTTCTGGTGCTGGAAGTCCTTGGTGGGAATCTCGAAGTAGCCAGGCTCACGGTGGTAGGAAGGAAAGACAGTCTTTGGTTGGGGGTCTGGGAGATGGCCAGGAAAATCTGGATTTATAGAAAGAACATTGTTCTCTACATGTCAGAACATAGAAACCTTCGGTAAGATGGTCAAGATGTGTCTACCTGAGTGAGGCTCTTCACCCCCTTGAACTTTGCTCCCATAATCCTCCTCTCCCCACCAGGAAGGCTGGCCGTATAGAGGAGTGGGCCGGCTCCCAGGAGTCTCTGTCACAGACAGACATGTTCAGATGGTTCCGAACAGACATACATCTGCACTGTAGAACACAGTGGTCCCCCCAGCTGATGGAGGCCCCTCTGCAAACCGGTTAGCTGAAAGGAGTCTGTCCTCCTGCTATCAGTCATGAACAATAAACTGGACCACTTGGAACTCAGACCCAGTTCTTCCTGTTCGAACCGAGATCAACCGAGGTTCAAAGGAGCTGGTTCTACCAGGTTCTACCAAAGGCCAGGAAACAGGAAAAGTCTCTATGATCTAAGCTCCCGATGTTCTGATCCGTCTGTAGACATCAAAGAAATCTCGATCAGAACATCAACAGGAAGAAGAGATCCAGCTACAGAACCAGAACCACTGACCACCAGAACCACTGACCTAACTGACCCAGAACCACTGGCCTAACTAATCCAGAAACTTTGGCCTAACTGATCCAGAAATGTTGGCCTAACGGACCCAGAACCACTGGCCTAACTGATCCAGAAATGTTGGCCTAACGGACCCAGAAACACTGGCCTAACTGTTCCAGAACTGCTGGCCTAACTGACCCAGAACCGCTGGCCTAACTGACCCAGAACCTTTGGCCTAATTGACACAGAATCTTTGGCCTAACTGACTCAGAACCACTGGCCTAACTGATCCAGAACCACTGGCCTAACTGATCTAGAACCGCTGGCCATAGGAACCACTGACCTAAATGACCCAAAACCTTTGGCCTAACTGACCCAGAACTGCTGGCCTAACTGATCCAGAACCGTTGGCCTAACTGACCCAGATCCGTTGGCCTAACTGATCCAAAACCACTGGCCTAACTGATCCAGAACCTTTGGCCTAACTGACCCAGAACCACTGGCCTAACTGATCCAGAAACATTGGCCTAACTTACCCAGAACCGATGGCCTAACTGACCCAGGATAGCTGGGCTAACTGACCCACCACCTCTGGCCTACCTGACCTAGAACTGATGTATTAACTGACCCACAACCGCTGGACTAACTGACAGAGAACCACTGGCCTAACTGACACACCACCTCTGGCCTACCTGACCTAGAACTGATGTATTAACTGACCCACAACCGCTGGACTAACTGACAGAGAACCACTGGCCTAACTGACCCACAACCGCTGGCCTACCTGACCTAGAACTGATGTATTAACTGACCCACAACCGCTGGCCTAACTGACCTAGAACTGATGTATTAACTGACCTACAACCGCTGGCCTACCTGACCTAGAACTGATGTATTAACTGACCCACAACCGCTGGCCTAACTGACCTAGAACTGATGTATTAACTGACCTACAACCGCTGGCCTAACTGACCTAGAACTGATGTATTAACTGACCTACAACCGCTGGCCTACCTGACCTAGAACTGATGTATTAACTGACCTACAACCGCTGGCCTAACTGACCTAGAACTGATGTATTAACTGACCTACAACCGCTGGCCTAACTGACAGAGAACCAATGGCCTAACTGACCCACCACCTCTGGCCTACCTGACCTAGAACTGATGTATTAACTGACCTACAACCGCTGGCCTACCTGACCTAAAACTGATGTATTAACTGACCTACAACCGCTGGCCTACCTGACCTAGAACTGATGTATTAACTGACCCACAACCGCTGGCCTAACTGACCTTGAACTGATGTATTAACTGACCTACAACCGCTGGCCTAACTGACCTAGAACTGATGTATTAACTGACCTACAACCTCTGGCCTAACTGACCTTGAACTGATGTATTAACTGACCTACAACCGCTGGCCTACCTGACCTAAAACTGATGTATTAACTGACCCACAACCGCTGGCCTAACTGACCTTGAACTGATGTATTAACTGACCTACAACCGCTGGCCTAACTGACCTTGAACTGATGTATTAACTGACCTACAACCGCTGGTCTACCTGACCTAAAACTGATGTATTAAATGACCCACAACCGCTGGCCTAACTGACCTTGAACTGATGTATTAACTGACCTACAACCGCTGGCCTAACTGACCTTGAACTGATGTATTAACTGACCTACAACCGCTGGCCTAACTGACCTTGAACTGATGTATTAACTGACCTACAACCGCTGGCCTACCTGACCTAAAACTGATGTATTAACTGACCCACCACCTCTGGCCTACCTGACCTAGAACTGATGTATTAACTGACCCACAACCGCTGGCCTACCTGACCTAAAACTGATGTATTAACTGACCCACCACCTCTGGCCTACCTGACCTAGAACTGATGTATTAACTGACCCACAACCGCTGGCCTAACTGACCTTGAACTGATGTATTAACTGACCTACAACCGCTGGCCTACCTGACCTAAAACTGATGTATTAACTGACCTAGAACTGATGTATTAACTGAACTACAACCGCTGGCCTAACTGACAGAGAACCACTGGCCTAACTGACCTAGAACTGATGTATTAACTGACCTACAACCGCTGGCCTAACTGACAGAGAACCACTGGCCTAACTGACCTAGAACTGATGTATTAACTGACCCACAACCGCTGGCCTAACTGACAGAGAACCACTGGCCTAACTGACCCACCACCTCTAGCCTACCTGACCTAGAACTGATGTATTAACTGACCCACAACCGCTGGCCTAACTGACAGAGAACCACTGGCCTAACTGACCTAGAACTGATGTATTAACTGACCCACAACCGCTGGCCTAACTGACAGAGAACCAATGGCCTAACTGATTAACAGCCACTGGATCTTCTCCTAGTATTGGACTCTGGTTTTTAGACTGTACCTTGTGAGATGCTCTTTGTACTCGTGATCTTGTCTCCATGCTGTCTCTCCTCCTCATCGCTCGTCTTCCCCTCCGCCGCCTTCAGACTCATCTGCAGCTGACTGCTGTACTTCTCATGCTGCAGAAAAGAAAAAAACTTAATTTGAGCCCAAAGTTCTCAGACTGGTCCGTTCCTGGTTTATGTGGAAGTTCTCATGTAAGGATAGAATCAACTGGATTTATGTTTTATGAGGATGTTATAATCCTGATAAAACAGAACCTTCATCAAAGCACCTGACAGGAAAGCCTTTGTCTGCTAAATGGTTTAAATCGTCCATGAAGAACAGAGACTGTTCAATGTCAGAAGGTAACTTTAATCAGAACCACAGAGACCCCATGAGGGGTTCCCCACTGCTCCATCTTAGGGCCCCTCCTTTTCTCCATGCTCCCTCTGACTCGGATCTTAAGAAACTGAGAACTAGAACTAAAACTAAGAAAGTAGTTCAGACAGCTGATCCAGATGCTGCTGCCTGCGTCCTCACTAGAACTATAGAAAGTAGATCAGACAGCTGATCCAGACGCTGCTGCCTGCGTCCTCACTAGAACTATAGAAAGTAGATCAGACAGCTGATCCAGCCGCTGCTGCCTGCGTCCTCACTAGAACTATAGAAAGTAGATCAGACAGCTGATCCAGATGCTGCTGCCTGCGTCCTCACTAGAACTATAGAAAATAGATCGGACAGGTGATCCAGACGCTGCTGCCTGCGTCCTCACTAGAACTATAGAAAATAGATCGGACAGGTGATCCAGACGCTGCC